GCTACAATAATTCCCACACTGATGAGAAAGAACCCTTGGTACTGCCTCAAGATAAACCAAACATCACCAAAAAAACATTGATACCTTCTTGAAATTACAGTCATTCTCAATAATAGACATGTTTATAGTCAAATCTTTTTGATTGACAAATATCTTTGTGACTAAACCTTAAAAACCTAAAAAGTTAAGTGGATATTGAAGGGAAAATACACATCACAGGTTCTAATGCACCCCAGAATTCCTAAAATGGACAGTTTTTTTGTTTGCCGATATTCGCAGGTTTTAAGTAACTAAATAAGAATGTAGTCAACATGTTGCGTTTTATTTATATAACCATACAACCCATAATGTATTTTCAAGTAACTAAGCAGAGACCGAGAACCACTTGAAAGAAATCAATATATACTTAATATCTGGTATGCATGTATTGACATACCGTATGTCTGAATCATTTGACCTTTGACTCTATAAACGGTGACTGCAAATAGCAATCATCTTGGGAATTCAAATATGTAGACATCTGTTAATATGAGTATATAAACAATATTAATAGTTAATCTCAACTCTAGAGGGCTCTCACCTGTTCTAATTTGTCACTAAACGTGTGCTTGGCATCTTCAGAAAACTCTCTGGCAAGGCTGAAAACAATTCCCAGACACAGAGACAGATTTTAAAAAATATCATTGTGTATTTTTGTAAGTGAGCATCAATGCACAATAAATCATGATTAAAACAACACATATATCATTCTTGCAAGCCTGGTGGGCAAATTGACACACAGAAATGCTAATAAATTATAACAGAGTTGTAGTAGTAGTAATTCAGTTGATGTCTTTGTCAGCACCTGTTGTCTGTAAGTGCTTAGATATGCACAAATGCCTTCTAGGGTGTCTCAGTGTCCCATGCTCTGGATCATTCAGGTTGGGAAGGTTTAATCAAACAGTTGTAAATTATTCAAAGTGAATGACTTCAATACTATGTTTACAGATTAATTAGGAGTTCATATGATGAGATGGATGACATGAGACATGCCTAACTACGCTGAATTTAATAAACATGCCTAACTACACGGGTTTTGCCTAAAGACATTCTTTTGCCTAACTAAACATGCCTAACTAATCTAATTTTGAAGTATTTTGAAATGCCTGCTATTTTCTGACCCAAAACCATTTATTGGTACTTTAATAATATTATTTTTTATGTTATTAAGTACAAAATAAATTTTTAAAGTGAAAAAATGAGTTTCAAACCCAATCTACGTCAATTTTATTTTATGTATTTTAAAACAATGTTTCTCATGAACTTCTCATTTGCATACTTTGGATTGTTTGGAAACGTGTAAATTCTCATACTATTACTATACGCATTGCTGACCAAAAAATATATATCGTTAATATTGTCGTTAAATGACGCAGTATTATAAAATTATAGCATTTGGTGCTACACTTTTTTTTCGGCTAGAGTCGGAAAGCTGAAAACAGTGGACTGTTTCAGGATAGGTGGGCGTGGCTACAATAAAGGAGATATTTCAAATTTACTCGGATATGAGTAATCATTTTCAACAAAAAATTCAATCCTTGTGCGAGTTTGAAATTCTGCATTAGACAATTTGTCATTTCTATTTCAATAAATATCAATAATTTTGCAATTTGTTTGTCAGAATCTTGGAATCTGAATAATTTCTACTACTGAGTATTTCTCCTGATATAGCTGCATTGTGCATGTATGAAGTGATGTAGGAAAACATTTGAGTGGAGTCATAAACAAATAGACACATTTTGTAAATGGAATCACCTCAAATCGTGTTAAAAACTGCTGGAGAGGTCAGCTTTCAAGAAAACAGTAAAATTGTATGACTATATAGCTGACTTGAGACACACACAAAAAAAATGATGTGGTGGTCTGTGATTTACTTTGTGTTTACACTTATTCTGTATGTGAATTTCATTTTACTAAATTATAAACTATAGCAAGATGTTTCTTAAGATCACTATAATGATGTATAATATTCAGTTGCGTTAATGATGTGACAGTGAATAGGTGATTTTTCGTACAATTGCGAGATGCATGAAAGACGCGCGTCGGACGTCTGCCGCAAAAATCGAATGATTTGATTTTGAACTCGAATTTCTTTATTTCGTAGCTCACATCGACCGGCCGATCTTCGACAAAGGAATATTGCCTCCGAATACCCTTACTTAATCGAAATTGTCTATCATCAAATGTGGACAGTACATTATTAAGCATGGAAATGTCCCCCAAAATACTTTCGCGTTTGTTGAATCCCATGCGATGTTTGATGCCACTACGACACTATGACCTTTGTTTGTCCTGTTTTTACGTTCGATTTCATGCATAACGTGTGATTCTCGCAGTGATCGGAAAATGGTCTATTGGCACAAATAGTTGGGTCACAGCAAATATTTGTTTCTCATGCTGGCTATAGAGGGCACACTGATCACAAACACAGAATATATAAATTACTTGTTGTGGTGATAGTTTGCTCTTACCCAATAGTACATGTCAATTCATCTGTGCTTCCCAGTGCTTCAAATATGACATCATCTTTGGGTCTACGCTCACCGCTGTAAGTACTTGACATTCCTGTTTTACAATGTAGAGATAACAGATAAATGAATCATTATGATTTTAACTTTCACCTTCAATATAATATCGAACACTGACATGTTCTCATTGGTCGATTGGTACTACACACTGTTGTGTTATCAGATTATAAAAGGGGCAGTTTTAAGGAGACAATACATGAACAAGATTACGTATGAATAACCAACGTTTGCTCACATTTGTAAGGGTTATTAAAGCGGGAGGGTCCCAAGTGATGATAACAACATAGCTAAGAATGCAAAGGCTCATAGATGCTTGTTTGTAAACAATGACACACTATGGCCACCTGACACATGCGTAGATGACGACTCCCCCGCTTTAAACAACAAACCTAATATAATTTGTTCATGTTCAAGGTAAATGAGACCTTTTTTACAAATAGGGAAGTGCATATGCTGTACCAATGTTTGTCTAAGGGATTACCTGACAGCCTTTCTTACTATTCTGACTATTAAAAACAATTTTTTTTCTACATTTTTAATCACACAAAATACCAGTAAATTGCACAGAGCATTGATAATGCTGCAGGCTAAAAGAGGTTTTCTTTTATCTGCCTTAGTTTTTAGCAACGACCAAACAACTACAGACATGTTATCAACAACAAAATTTTTGATGCATTTTGTTACCACTGCAGAGTGTTAGGCCAGCTATCAGGTGTGTGTGGGTTTCTGTAGTTTTATATTTATTTGTGTGAAAAACTTGAAAAGAGTTACAAGCAAAAAATAAATTGACATCACCTTTATCTCCAGTTCTGGTATAAATTCTTATGGCTTTAGGTTTATTCACATCTTCACTGAAAATTCAAAGACATAAATTACATGTGAACACGTGACCAACACATATTTTGAGACGATTTAACTACAGAGGATGTAACATGCTTGTAGTCTCTTGGCGTTGGGCTGGTCAGACTCTGAGGTTCTGTTAGGGTTCAAAACAACATTGATACAACACAATGGGGGGGGGGGGCAAGGGTTATTTTCGTTCAACGTAATTGTAATATTTTTTGTTCGTACAATGTAAATTGAAAAATAAATTCAGTAATTCTGTAATCACAGGCTAAGACGTACAATGTAATCAATCAAGTATTTTTTTTGTACACTGTAAAAATGTATCATTTTTTCAGTACGTACAAGAATTTTCTAGGTTTTCTTTTTTAATTTTCCGTAAAATGTAAAATAACTTTTATTTTCTCTGTAAACTGTAAACATTCAATTTTCACTGTAAACTGTAAAAACGTCTATTTTTCCTTGTAAACTGTAAAAAAGCCCTTTTTATTTCCCATAAAACAAGCTACCCCCCTTGCCCCCCTCAAATTTGCAGTGACATGTAATGAAAAGACGCTACTGGGATATATACTCAATCACTACAGACAATTTTCTTAGGATTATTACAATATTGCAAAGAAAACCAGTACAGCATTTGGGTTTTTTTAGCGTCCACTGTGAACAATCTGACAGAGAGTGTTGAAGAAATGGGACACGTGGGGAAAATGGTCATTCTGAATCCAATGATTATGAATAATTAACTTCTTAGTATAGAATGCAATCAATCAGTAACAGTATAGGAAAACATTTAAAGGTGTTGTTTTGAGAAACTATGGGGCGGTTTGGGCTTGACGTTAATGGGTCCACTCTCTTCAGATAGACCAGAAATCTGACGAGGTGCAGGATGTCAAATTAGATTATCATCGGAAAAACGTGGTGATGTTGAGTGGAAATAAAACTAACAAGGCATTCTGAAAAAGAAATACTCTACCATCGTCTTAACCATGGTCTCTTTATGTCACGCCTACACGTGGAGTCTTGAGGAAGAAATAAGCTCTGGTAGCAAGAATGTACTCTCCATATCTATCAATATCTTTTTGAAACTTACTTTTTTAATAAAATTTTATGAAGTGTTATTCTTTTTTTGTACCTGATGTTATGTAATCATCATGAAGACTTTACTCTAGTTTATGACAAATTTCATTACTGATTATAAACAGTATAACGAAAACTCAATTACTATAGGCGTCGTCCCTGTGACTGATTGATAACAAACCTGACTGTGCTTTTTGAACTGTAGTAGTTCAAAGTTGACACCCTGAAACCGACTCTGTTCAGGCTCGTGCATTTTACAGCAAAGCTAGCCACCCTGCAGCAGACACTGGAAGACATTACGGGGATGTATTCACTGCATTCCTACAGCTCGGCGAACAACAATATCGTCTGCAACTTATCGTTCCGTTCATACCAGCTGATTTCCGCTCGACAGCGCCCCCACATGCCATGAAAACATGGTGGCGCTCTATATACCTACATCCGAGGATCAAGTAAAATCTGTTCGAGGGGGTGGGGGTGGGGGGTGGGGTGTCATACATGTTGGCCGGGTGTTTGGGTTATTTTTTTCTCGTTTAAAAACTTGATATCTCCCAAGCTTGCACAAAGAAAAAAATATGTTATTATTGAAGAAAAGTTAGAATGGCCCATATCTGGTTTGCATATTTAGGCGAAAGATTACGTAATTGTTTCGTAACATGTTGGATATTAGGGGTAAAAAATAACCTCATCATGTGATATAATGAAAGGTATTTCAACATAAAAATCACATGCATATTAATATTCATACATGAATTAGTTTTATACTTCGTACTATGTGGGCAAAGCAAATAACGAATATTCAGCATGGGCGGATTTAGAGGAGGGCCTATTTTTAACAACCAACAGGGCTTTGGCGCTCGCGAACTTGGCCTTCGGCCAACTTATCGCCTCCTCATTCCAGATTCCTAGATCCGCCCCTGTTCAGTTATCAAAAAGAACTACATAATGTTACAATACAGTGTGTTGTATAGCAAAATCAAAATATTTCATGTAAAAAAATATAACAACATTAACAAGTTGCAGATGTGGCAGTTTTTAGTCATTATTAGGTTAAATTATTACTCTTCACATGCTTCTAAAATTCAGCTAATAACTACTAAAGTTGAAGTTTTGATTGGCTATATTTATTTATTAATTAATATTTGTAGCAGCCCTTTTAAATCAGAGGCTCATCAAAAGAAGTACACATATATATGAATAAATAAATTAGGAGCAGCAAAAAACAAGACTGAAACATGACTGAAAGTACAATTTATAAATTTAAAATTAAAGGGAACCTCAATCCAAACAACATTATGACCCCTAAAGAAAAAGCTCCACAAATGTAGGAGAATGCAATTGACACTTTTTTTATATCAGTTTTCATTCTCTAGATATTCAACTTTTCATCGTTATTATGTAGTCAGCCATCTTGATTCTTAAGCAAAGGATTATGGGTAAAGTATGACATCATAGAATCTGTTGTCAGAAATTGAGAAAATTAGCTGCACCCCTTTAAATTTGTTCAAGGAGTTTAGATAATGCAATGCTACTTGCAAGACTGTACATGATTGGCTACTCAACCAGAACAGTCAGACCAATCAGAGAGTAGCCTGTTTGTTGACAGCCCCCCCCCCCACATATCAACATTCTGTTTTATATATACGCTTCACATTCAACTGCAAAATTGCAATTTTATAGCAATTTCGAAGATATCCAAGTTTGAAGACGATCAGGAAATCAAAGTTAAACCCTGCAAAGCTCTTGTGTGAACACAGAAAATGCAATCATTTTATAAAAACTTATCAAGAAAATGAAAACTTCAGTCAGTGAAGGAGCAAGTTTTTAGGATTATCAGCAACAATACATACAACAAATTTGATCAAAAATATGCAAATCAGCTAATCAATATGCATGCACATGGCCCAAAACTAATATTGTGAAATACTTTATTTTAGCACGAATTAATTTTGCTGAAAACACTTTTTGGGTGTTTTGTGTGGATTTTATTTTCACTGATTTTTGAAGAGATGAATGTAAAATATAGGAAAACAAGTATATTTGCTGGATTTTATTTTCACTGAATCATTGCTTCAGCAAGAATTACAGACATTCTGAGAATTATTAGTCATTTAGCAAAATGACTTGCAACACCTTGGTCTTTGCCCAATCTAGACTTGTCAGCGCCACTTGATTGACGAGCGCGTGGTTTGGGATTACTATTTCACAGGGGTTTTCGGCATGGTGAATTGCAAGTAGGTATTACCTAGCATGCATGTTTATTTTGTAATTATTTTCAGTAATTTTAAAAATCGCAAGTTGGCTGTTGCTTAAATTTGTCGATAAATGTCAACCCCGCGCTCATTTTAGTCAGTTGTACCTGTTACAAAAATGGACTAGACTCAACAGTCATCATACCCTCGTCATTTTCAAACAGCAGATGAAAAAGTGATTCGCTCAAAACTGTCGCGAAACTGCAGTGCGTCCAATGCTAAGAAATTTTACTTTGAGCCTTCGCGCCAACGACGAGTTCATTAGTATCCCATGTATTCTCAACACTCGGGAGTTGTTTTGTAAATTGTGCCGTCAGGTGGTCTCGAATGGTTATAACAATTTAAAATAACGCTTTGAATGCATACAACATATAACCTGTTAATATATGGTAACCAACGCATGTCTTTTCGAAGTGTTTTACCTGCATCTAGCAAGATAATGGAATGATCCCAATTGTGGGCGTGCCAATACAACGGCGCCACCAAGTCTAGATTGGAAAAGACCCAAGTGTTTTGCAAAGTTCCAAGACATATTGCTAACTGACTGTCCAAATAATTCATTGGTTTTCCAGTATCATTTTCTTCGACAAAGTAACCATTTTTGGTGCCAGAATACATTAATCTTATTTATTGTATTTTTATGAGTTTATTTATAGGCCTATATATATTTATATGTACAAGATGAGGGTATGATCATATTTATACGTATGTACTGTGATAAAGATCTCATTCTATGTGTATTTTAGTAGACGCATGAGCAAGATAAAAGGAAACAATTCGAGAAACGTAGGTTTATCTGACAATTCATTGACTTTTAATCACATCAGTTTCATACCATTATTGTAGACGGATAACACACTGTTACTGTCCAAATCAAATTTTGCCACCATGTACCTATCTATATATAGCAAACACACATGACAAGTTCAAGGGTTTACAATTCTATACAGTTTTGTACATTATCTTTCTAATGCTGAACTTCAACCTCCACCTCTCCCCAAACGCACACACGCACCCAACTATGCACATATAAAAAGTCAACAATCTTGAAAAATAAACAGTACCGACCTTGCCATGTTCAAAGATGAACAGACACCTGTATCAACCATTCAGAGAAAACATGTGGGCAGAGCACACAAATGAACTTTGAACCTCATTTTAATATTTATAAAAAAAAATACAAAGACAAAATGTAAAGTAGTAGGTCATATAGGCAAATCATGATATAAATACATATTGCTATTGAAAGAAATTACACAGTATTTACCAGGCTTGCCGACATTGACAAGTGATTAAATTTGCATAAATAGCGATGGTAAAATGTTGAGATTTGCGAGATATGGAGTAATTCGGCATTCTGAAGCAGCTGCATTTACACACAAAGACGACGACCCCGTTTTGGGCTACATCTGATAAGGACTAGATAGGAATAAGATACAGTACATTGTAATTGTAGCGTATCCAAAGACGAACGACTGTGAGAAGACAATACAGACGCTAATACACCACGGAGTAGAGGCCAATTTGATTGTAGCTATTTAAGAGTCTCCTTTCAGGGACCTCATACCAGCTCTCATAATTTCATCCACCAATAATAGGTTACTAGCGATTACGGTGCTGAAAAAAACAATAATAATATCAATCACAGGACTGATAATAAATATGGCACAACATTTTCAGAGTTTGCTTTTTTGTTTTAATTTTTAGAATTATCTATTGAGATGAATTAATTATTTTGGCAAATTTACTGAATTTAAAACCCTACGAATATAACTAATGCCTAGTTGGAAAATGTGAATTCATAATTGAAAGCCCAGGTATATACATATATTAATTCAAACACATTAGTCAAAATAGACAAAAAGCAAAATAGAAATATTTTGGAGATAGAGTATTTCATTGCTGTCCGACGGAATAGTTTGACTTCTCATAACAAGAAATGGGGATATTTTATGAAAAATGTTACCCAGTCCACTTCACAATATGTAGATTAATTGCAACTTGTAATGTACAAACCAGGTATGTAAGATGTTAATTTCAGTGCAAACTCCAATAAAAGTTTATAAATACAAAAAAAAAAAAAAATTGTAATATTTGGTTGAATAAAGTAATGAACAGCTCACTACAACTTCGTTCAATCTCATATCACGCACATCCTTCTTTCAATTACAATATCCCTGAATGTTGAGAAACAACAGTTTTGTTTTTTTGAGTGTCTTAATAAACAATTGCATTTCAAGCAGACATGCAAAAACTTGTTAGTAACGCAGATGACCAGATAGGTTTGCTGCCAAGACTAAATATAGGGAAAAGTTGAATATTTTAATTCATTTGTCTGTTCAAATTTGATTGTTTCAATAACTGACAGCGATAGTTATAAGTAACCGTACAAGCAACTGTAAAACATTTAATTTTTGCTGCTGGGAATTTTCGCAATTTGATGTTTTAATGGCATTCGTGAAGATGCACTTGTGTCGTGGGACCCCAGAGAAATATTCACCGACTCGCAAACGTTCGTTTCTAGCGAATTTAATGAGTTACACTACTTACCAAGAATGAAGTAACTGTTTTTTAACACAATAATTATCCCATATACCATGGTCTGCTGGAATTAAAGCCTCACCTAACAGATAAACGGATAACAGAGAATTCAAACATCAATGTTATAAAACAATGCTGGTCAAGGTGGTTCTGATTGTAGCAAGGCAAACTACGATGGAGAGTGTTGCTTTCTATTTTAGAGTAAAGCTGTAATCACTTTCTCTAGAGCACATTCATGCTATATTAGTGACAGAATCTCAATATAGCTAAAATGACAATCTCATTGTGAGAATATAATTTCTGAATTAGCTAATATGCTAGTTAAAAAAACAATCTACAATAATTGGTGTGAGCAAGAGAAACAGGGTATAACATAGGACCATGGAGGTAAAAAAAAAAACAGGAGTTGCAACTAGTTTAAGATCAAATGTTTCATGATCATTTCTGCCATTTACACAGTAATTATAATGTTTGCTCGTTAATCGTTAATCTAGCAGCAAACAACAAATAATGTAGATAAGACAAATTGACATACTGTAGGACGGGAAATTTTCACGCAATAAAATTTTCGAGTGAAAGCAAATTTCGTCTAATTCGTGCATTTCATTTTTCGTGTTCTTCTTGTAGATGAATTATTTAAACTTTATTATTCAATGTCTGTTACTAATTCACAATAATAGGCTTAAACAAGTTGTAACTCCTGTCTTACCTCCATGATAAGACAAAAAGACAACATTGTTTGTGTCCCTACTGACCATTATAACAAAATACTGTAGAATACTTTATTTTCACTGAAAAAGCTTTTTGGGCGTTTCGTATGGAATTTATTTTAACTGATTTTTGATGAGTTGAATGTGAAATATAGGAAAAAAAGTATATTCGATGGATTTTATTTTCACAGAATCATCCTTGCAGCGAAAATAGTGAAAATAAATTCCAAGCGAAAACAAAGTATTCTACAGTAGATTACCTGTATGTGATATTAAAAAGCGCTGGTCTTTTTATCAGTATAGTTGACATAGCAGTAAATAATAATGTAAATTTGATAACTGGTACACTACCAATATCTACAGACTTCCTGTATATAATTAACTGACACTACTCTGTTCTCAGCCATGCACAAGATCTATACACACCTGAATTTACATCCAAACCAACAGGGTGACTGATATCCGTGAAATCTTCTTGTAATTTCACTATTGTTTCTTGTGGATCAAAACCCGAGTTAGTTGCCAACGTCTTGGGAATCACCAGCATAGCATCAGCAAATGCCTGTACGCCAAGTCGAGCACGACCTTTGACACTAGCCTTATGCTTCGTCAGTGCATCATGAATAGCCATTTCCAGGGCACCAGCACCAGGAACCACAGCAGCTGAAAAAAAAAATATCAATATATTTTACATGGGTTTTTCTAGAAAAAAACTGCAAGAGGAAGCACTGCAATTCAGCAGTGCCACCAAGTGGGGGAAATAGGGTTCTCCCTACCATGGTGTGGAGTTTTTGATAATTCTAAGTTAAAATGAAGCATTCTATGGCTTCCTTGGGGCCAAAATTACTATCAGACAGGTCACAGTTGAAGACACTGGCCACATGTGATCCCTGGTCAATCAGAATTTTATGGTTGCCTGGATCTGCTCCCCAGGGTAAGGAGTGCATGGCCATGGCATGAGGGCACTGTGCCCCTGTTCCCTTATTTAAAAAAATCACCGTTTTAAATATACAAGCCAGATAATGTAATGAAGAGTTGCTATCAAAATACATTTAATCCCATCGCATTTTCTCTAGGTGTCTCTTTTGTATTAATTCAAGTCAAAAGTGAATTGAGGCTTCTCTGGCAGAAAGTGCGAGTTCATTACATGTAATATACGTGTAAAATTGAAGCAACTGTTTGGTGATAGATTGCAGATTCAACATAAAATTTAAGCGATTTTTAGTAAATGACTACATGGTATTCATAAGCAAACTTTTTATTAGTAATTAATACACCTGAAACATAAGCTTTAGAGAACCTCCAGGTCACTACTCATTAATATGAAAAACTAGTAGTTCAGACAAAAAAAAAGACTTCTGTGTTCCAAGAAACAAAATATTAGGTAAGCAGGATAGGTTGTTATTTTAGTTTTTTTCCAATGGACAGTTTTTCTGTCACAATAATGCATTTAATAGACTTGAGATCAATTGTAGATGTCCTTGCAATCATGTTCTGGTCATCCACTACATCAAAGAAAGTAAATCATTTTAATGCCTATAACATTGAAAGGTTTATGTGACAGAAGTGTTATTTTTATTGTTATCCATCCATACTATGACAATTACACAGATATGAAGGTTACTGTGGAATACTTTATTTTCGCTGGAATTAATTTTCGCTGAAAAAGCATTTTGGGCATTTTGTATGGAATTTATTTTCACTGATTTTTGATGAGTTAAATTTGAAATATAAGAAAAAAAAGTATATTCACTGGATTTTATTTTCACGGAATCATCTCTTCAGCGAAAATAGCGAAAATAAATTCCAAGCGAAAATAAAGTATTCTACAGTATCTTACCGTCTTCGATAGCGTTTTTCACAGCTCTAAGTCCATCATGTATGGCATCCTTTATTTGTGTTAATGTATGTTTATTAGGTCCTTTTATCAGTATAGTTACAGACTGGGGATTCTTGCAATCTTCTATAAAAGTATATTTATCTTCACCCTACAATAATATAGAATATATATTTCATTCAAAACGCTAGATACAGCGCTCATTTCATTCTCAAATGGCAAATGCTAGTTCCTGGGCTCATTTCATTCTCAAATGCAAATGCTAGTTCCTGGGCTCATTTCATTCTCAAATGCAAATACTAGTTCCT